CGGCGTCGGGAGACGATGTGGAAGAGTGAGTGGGATGCGTGATGGATTGTGCGGGGAAGTTGAGTGGGAGGGTTGTGCGGGAGGGCTGATGAGGTGTTTGGGTGGGTGCAGGTTGTGGGAGGGCTGGGGCTTGCTTGGCAAGCGTCGTTCGGGATCCTGGTGCTGCTGTACTTCTACTCGCACTACTTTTTCGCGAGTGGTGCGGCTCACATCGGAGCGATGTTCACAGCATTTTTGTCAGTGGGGACGGCGCTGGGGACGCCACCTCTGTTTGGGGCGCTGGTGCTGGCGTTTTTGTCGAATCTGATGGGGGGACTGACGCACTACGGAATCGGGTCAGCTCCGGTGTTTTACGGGGCGGGTTACGTGCCGCTGTCACAATGGTGGGGGTACGGGTTTTTGTGCAGCGTGGTGAACCTTGTGATCTGGCTGGGAGTGGGAGGAGTGTGGTGGAAGTTTTTGGGCCTCCTGTAGGTTGATTGGTATGTGTCGAAGTTTAGAATCGGTCTTTAGTGATGAATGGATCACATGTCGCTGAGTTTTTTTTTTTTCTTTTATAGATTGACTGATTTTTGAAAGAGAAGTTTACGTTTTCGTTTTATGTTTTAGTTGATGTTGTCCGTCACAACTAAGGATTGGAATGTGGGAAAGGTGGTCTTAGTTTCTGTGGTCACCGGTTTTACGCGATGGGGTGATTAGACTTGGTGTGCCGTCGTTCCTTGCGCTTTTTCTTTGTTGTTTTTCTCCAGTCCTTTGATTTTGGGATTGAGTTTTGGAAGCTGCCTGGTTGATAGAAAATTTTCAGCTTGTATGTTTACCCTATTCGGCTGCGGGTTTTTCTTACGGTCTTGGTCGATTTTTGCATTTTTGATCGGTTATGTGACTATGGTCGTTAAAGTCTAACTGCGTGATGAGAATTTGTGTAATCGTGATGTAGAATGGTGCTTCCACATGAATTTTCGTGTTGGGAATAATTGTGGGTGGTGTTCGTAGTTTTTTCGGAATTGCGAGGTATCTTGATGTTCCCAAAATATATAGACTTGGTCAGACTGGTAAACTTGTGAGAACTATCAGAGTTCTTTTGTTTGTTTCACTGCATTATTTTAGAGTTTTAGAAATTGCACGATGTTTTACGTTGGGGATGTATTTGTTACATTCCTCAATTTTTTTTTATTAAGTTGTTATGAACAGGAGAACATTTAACTTTTGAATATTATCCAGGATATTTTAAATGACTTTCAACCAATATTGACTGCTGTTGTGATAAATATTGGGAGTACCGAACTCTACTGTCGCTGCGTTTGAGAGTGAGATTTTTATTGTTTTCACTATGTGTTCAGTCATCCAGAGTCAAGGTCCTGATAATGTGTAGTGTTGTCCTGTTTAATTAGTTTGCATTGAGTTCTGATAATGTGAATTGAACATTAAGTGAATTTTGTGAAGGAAGTAAGGTGGATGCAAGCTCTTTGGAGTTTAGGGAATAGAAGTCAATTTTGGTGCGTTGGCAGGAAGATGGAACATAGATTAGTCATCCGGGATTGATGAACCTAGTCGAAGAATCCCATTTGGAATCTTGATAATTGTAGGAAGCAGTGTGGTAAGATAATTTTTAATTAATAAATCATGGTGGAAGGGTATGTGGTTATCAGAACAAGGGTATTGAAAAATTTGTAAGCCTCATGTTCTACATGCTTTTATTTTGCATTGCGTCGATTTGTTGTCCTCAGGCTTGGTACTAGGTGGTGCGGCTCGTACAGGGAGAAGTCTATGGATGGATGGATTCATGTACCTATCAATAATATTCAACACTGATTAATGCAGTGAAAAGTGAAAAATAAAAAAGTAACAAATGTAAAACATGTGTGTTGTAGTCAAGTTTGACGGATAAGAAAAATCGATGTGAAACTCAAACTGTGGTCTTTCTTTTGGTGTGATTCATATATAAATGGTGTAAAATGCTGCAGTGGAGCATTTTAGACCAAACAACATGGTGCAAGGTGTTTGGAGTGAGTGAAGCCATGAATCGTACGATGCTCAAATAGTTTTGGCAAAAATACCAAATACTGTGTAACGTGACATTATTGTAACAAGATATGCTTGAATGTCAAAAAATGCAGAACAATTTTGTTAAAGTAGAAAATTTGATCTGGTTATAAACTAGTTACAGTTTTTTTTACACCACAAATCATCACGATCTTGGTAGAATTACAATTAGTTTTTGCACTAGGGCACAAAATTCTAGATTTGATATGCAATGATGCATAAGGGTAAGCATTTAAATTTAGATGGCTTAGACTTGGAAAGTGCCTTTTTCACAGGTAGTTTGTGTCACCTTCTTAAGTGTGACATTTAAAAAATTAATGCCAAAGCACCATTAGAAAGAAATTCAATGGCAATTGTCACAATTGCAATGGTGATTATGAATGCTTTGCAGTTGCTGCTTTATTTGTTGTTGTTAGATAATTGAGGGTCCAAGCCTTTGAACTAAAATGGTCGTTAGAATACCACTTTTTAAATAATGAAATACATCTATATGTTATAAATAATAATAATAATAATAATAATAATTTTTAAAACCATATTTATGGTAAGATAATACTTTTAATCAGCTTTAAAATAAAAGATTATTTGATATATTTACTTATATGCATCAAAATATCTCTCTAATCTCTATATCATTTAAAATATAAATAAAAAATATAAAAATATTATAAAATAAAATAAATTATTATTATATATCTATAATATATATCTTATAAAAAAATAATAAATACATTGTAATAAAACTTTAAGTATTATAAAAGTATGCATAATTTATTATTACAACATTGAATTTTTTTGTTATGTGTATATAATTATTATACCTCCAATTTTATATAGTGTCTATATTTTGAATAATATGTTATTTAGGTGTAGATATACATATATAAAAATAACATATTTTAGTTTTATTTTTTTTATAAAACTATGTGTAATAATATTTTAGAAAAATCCAATATTTGAAGATAATTACTTATATCTAATTTTTTTAGAGAATATTAAATCAATCCCCCTAAATCTGAAATCAATCTACTATGTGACTTTGTGGTTTGAAATTGTTCCAAGGCTCATCCTAACTAGCCTTGGTTCTTTTGCAATAGACGGTTTTCTAACCTAAGTAACATGTCCATTAATTCAAAATATTTAGCAATTTTAGATGTTCTTGTGTTAGTGAGGCATCAATACTTGAAAATATTATCTATGGCAAGAAAAGAGGTTCAAGTGTTTGTGGATTAATTTTATATTTTCCAAAAGTTGTTGCATAAATTTATTAATACTCAAGTATCTAAAAACTTCTTTATTTGATACATTTATGTTTTCTTCTTCTTAAAAATTGTATTGAAAGGTTGAAATCTTAGTCTCAAATGTATTATACATGGTGCATAGGTTGTAGATAAGATTTTCTTTTTTAAAACCTTTGTGGTAGGTGTTTAAATAATTGTAAGATTGAAGTTAAGTACTAAAATTATTATTATTATTATTTTTACATCCATTAATAAGATAATAATATGTTTATAATAATTATCTCTATAGATTGGTGTAACTACATTAAATCCTTTAAGAGATTACATTAAGAGAGTCTTGGGTGATTGGACTTAATACTAACTTCTTTACATTGTATATTCAAATCTTATTACTAAGTGGTTCAATGTAGACTTAAAAAGTAATTTTTTTTTTTTTTTTAAAGAACTAATTTATTTAAAAAATAATTAAAAATTACACATATATTTAAAAATACATATGAATTTATTTTTGGATATAAATCCTAAAACTATCAAATCCAATTTATTTTTTAAGATAAAAATATATTTTTTTTAAAAAAGTAATTGTAATTTTGTGCTTTCAAACAAATTCTAAAAAAAACTGATTCTTCTAAATGGTTGTCATATGTGAGCATTACAATTACTTTAATATAAGAAATTGTATTTTTATGATGAAAGTTTAGCAAATTTTTAGAATCTATCTAGGAATCAAACAATGAATTTTTAGATTAAATCCAAAGCTTATTTTAACAATTAACTAAGTATAAAAATTAGTAAAACTTTAATGCTTATTTATTTATTTAATTATTTATTCTTTCTTTCTTCTATAGTATTGATAGATATATGTATATATATATATATATATATATATATATATATGAGTGATGTTAGAAGATTAGAAGCCAAAAATTAAGAATTAGTTTAAAACCATTATAGTAATTTAAATTTTAGATGAGTACCAAATAATAAATAGTAAAGAGAGTAAAGATTATTAGAGAAATAAGTTGAGGTATGAAGTTGAAAATATGCTCATTAATTACTTTTAAGAATAAAAAGTAGACCATGAAAATGACCATTGGATTTTTTAATTTTTTAATTTTTTAATTTTTTCTTTCTTCTTCCAAAAGAGATGGTTCAATTGTTTGCATTGCTTTTGTATTCTTGAACGAGAATAGACTACAAAGACTATTGGTATAATCTACATACTTAATAAAAATATACACACTAAGTATATACTTATCTAATTAGAATTAATATAATTAAATTATTAGATAAGTGCCTCCAATACACTTTATATATATGTTTTGGGCTTTGTCTCATATAATTTATCTTTTATTCTTTTGATCTAACTATGTAATATTAACATGGTATCAAAGCAATTCTAATTTAAGATAAAATTTTTATTTTATTTTTGTAAGCTTAGTTCCAGATTTGTTTTTACGCAAAGGCCTTATGTGTTGAACTTGCACTCTATACTTACAACTAAGTCATAGTATAAGAGCAACAAACTTATATTACAAATATTAAGTTGTGTAAGTAAGAAGAAGTGTTACAAAGAGTGTAAGAACAATATCATATTACAAGAGAAGTAAGTTTTATTATTTCCAATAGAAGAAGTAGATATTGTCATTTCTACATTGTGAATGTAAGTTGGTGTTTTAAACTATGTAAAGTGGTAGGACTTTATGATTTTTTTTT